GATTCAGTCCCCAAGATCTGTTTATACTTTCGGCTCTTTTCCCAGGCTAGGGGGAAAATTAAAAAAAAAAAAAAGAAAAAGAAAAAAACGGGTGTCACAAGCCCGCGACATCTGCAGTCCTACCACAGCTGCATGCTTTCATTTTCTCACTCCACAATTCCTGGAAATCTCTGCTTTCCCTGAGCATAGCTGGTCCATATGCACGACAGCTGAACTATCCACAGGATTTAAGAGTCCCCGATTACTCCTCAGACAATGGAGCAGAACAGCTTCCTCGTTACTGTGTATTCCAAAAAGGCCACATGCCTGTTTTTATATGCACACTAAGGGTAAATCATCGTCAAGTTTGCCAGCAACATGCTTATTTACTGGTTGCTAAATAATGCACCCTGGACTTGGGGATGTGTAGCACCTTTCAAATACCCCTGAAGTCACTGAGAACCAGGGATGCCTCGTTTCCCGGAAAACTAGAGCTCAAAAGCCTCTTAGACTGACAACCTCTTTGCCCCAAATTCTGTTACAAACACCCCAAACAGGTCTAAGAGAATGCTACTGATGGAGGCTTGCTGGTAACAGTGTGTCTGCAGAAACATAACACCCTTTGCAGTTGTTTTCTATTGTTCTTTCCTTGGTTACACATTTATTTTAAGGATCTCATCATTTATTTGGTATCCAGAAAGGTGTAATTACAGTCACAGTTTACTGAGAATGGTTGTTTGTGATACTACATGTATGAAATAAGTTTCAAAGCGTGATCCAGAGTTAAAAAAAACAAAACAAAAAAAGACTAGTGTAACGGCAAACAAAGGTCTAGAAGAGGTCAGTTAGTGAAAGTAAAACGGGCTTGTTTTGTTTTAAGAAATTTGTAAAAAGGTAACAGCAGTAACAAATGTAATTCCTTCACCTGAAGGAGGCCCACCAAGAAAAAGTACTGTCTTTTGCTCTGTAACAGTCTTCAGTGTAATTTTGCCCTTACTGTAACCCCTGTGGTTTGAAGGGCTCCTGTTGGATTAGAAGTCATATGGAAAATATCTCTTACCAACACTGCAAATAGAGGATTATTCAAATGGAAAGGGAGTAATGCAAATCTTGAACCTGCCAAGCGTGCCTTACACACTTGACGCTAAGCGTGTGAGTTTCAGACTAACTTTGCGCTGATGACTCCTACGTGGAAATTTAAGCAAGTAAATCTTTGCAGATTTGGGCTT